ATCCCTGTAGTTTTGCCTTTCCCAAAATGCCATATAAATTGGCATCACACAGTGTATATAGCCTTTTGAGTCTGGCCTCTTTCACTTAGCATAACACTTTTGAGATTCAAGAAGAAGTCTCTTTTTTATTAATAAACGATTTTTTAGAAAGTTTATGGAAAAATCGTGAAAGAAAATTTGTAACTATAGTACAGAGAAATCCCTTAAACCCTGCACCTAGTTTCCCCTATTTTTAAATTTAAACTACTAATTTTTGCTAATTGTCAAACCTGCAAGGTTCTAGAATTAAGTTTGTTGAAAATGGGAAACAATGTGAAGATTTTGATGAAGACGATGACTTTCTAATTTTTTTGTTTGTTTGTTTTTGAGATGCAGTCTTGCTCTGTCGCCCAGGCTAGAGTGCAGTGGTGCGATCTTAGCTCACTGCAGCTTCCTCCTCCTGGGTTCATGCGATTCTTGTGCCTCATCCTCCCAAGTAGCTGGGATTACAGGCACGTGCCACCATGCTCAGCTAATTTTTGTATTTTTGTATTTTTTGTATTTTTCGCCATTCTAAACAGAAACTCTGTAGCTGTTAAGCAGGTACTATTCATTCTCTTCTCGACCCAGTCCCTGGTAACCACTAATCTACTTTTTTTTTTTTTTTTTTGAGATGGAGGCTGGAATGTAGTGGCGCAATCTCAGCTCACTGCAACCTCTGACTTCCGGGTTCAAGCAATTCTGCCTCAGCCACCCTAGTAGCTGGGACTACAGGCATGTGCCACCACGCCCAGCTAATTTTTGTATTTTTAGTAGAGACAGGGTTTCACCATGTTGGCCAGGATGGTCTCAATCCACCCGCCTTGGCCTCCCAAAGTGTTGGGATTACAGGCGTGAGCCCCTGTGCCCAGCCTCTATTTTTTGTCTCTGTGAATTTACCTTTTCTAGATCTTTCATTTAAGTGGAATCGTGTAATATTTAGCCTTTTGTGTCTGACTTATTTCACTTAGCGTAATGTTTTCAAGGTTCATACATGTTGTAGAATGTATCATTTTTATGACTGAATCATATTTAATGTACCACATTTTGTATATTCATTCATTGATGGATACTGCATTGTTTTCACCTTTTGGCTATTATAAACAATGCTGCTATGAGTATTAGTGTACTCCTATTTTCAGTTCTTCTGGGTATATATCTAGGAGTGGAATTGCTGGGTTGTTGTAATTCCATATTTAATTTTTTTGAAGAAACACTAAAATGTCTTCCAAAGTGGCTGTACCATTTTACATTCCTCTAGCAGCAAAGTATCAGGGTTCCATTTTTTCTACATCCTTGCCACCACTTGTTGTTTTCCTTTTTTTTTTCTTTTTCCAGTTACAGCCATTCTAGTAGGTTGACTAGTGATATTGAGTATCTTTTCATATGCTTATTGATAATAAGTTGGCTTTTTTTTTTTCTTTTTGAGACGGTGTCTCACTCTGTTGCCCAGGCTGGAGTGCAGTGGTGTGATCTTGGCTCACTGCAACTTCTGCCTCCCAGGTTTAAATGATTCTCCTGTCTCATCCTCCCAAGTAGTTGACATTACAGGCACCTGCCAGCATGCCTGACTAATTTTTGTATTTTCGGTAGAGAGAGTGTTTCACCACGTTGACCAGGCTGGTCTCGAATTGCTGACCTCAAGTGATCCACCCACCTTGGCCTCCCAAAGTGCTGGGATTACAGGCCTAAGCCACAGCACCCGGCCTAAGGTTGCTTTTTTTTTTTTTTTAAAATGAGGTCTTGCTGTGTTGTCCAGGCTGGGGCACAATGGCTATTCACAGAGACAGTCGTAATGCAGTACAGCCTTGACCTGATAGGCTCAAAGGATCTTTCTGCTTCAGCCTCCAGAGTAGGTGGGAGAACAGGTGCATGCCACCATGCAAAGTTAATAGTAGCAACATATTGATGCTTGTTTCAACAGTGGTCAAGGCAGGGTGATGTTAACATTTTTTAAAAGGAAAAATAATTGGATGGCAACGTATATTTTAAAATCCCTATTATATGCTAAGCATTTTATTATATAATTTTATTTAATTCTGAAAACACTCTATTATCTGTGTTTTACAGATGAGAAAATTAAAGACAAAGGGAGATCAAGTAACTTGCTTTAAAAATCACAGAGTTGACCAGGCAATGTGGCTCATGCCTGTAATCCCAGCACTTTGGGAGGCCGAGGTGGGTGGATCACCTGAGGTCAGGAGTTCGAGACCAGCCTGGCCAACATGGTGAAACCCTGTCTCTGCTAAAAATACAAAAATCAGCTGGGTGTGGTGCTGGGCACCTGTAATCCTGGCTACTTGGGAGGCTGAGGCAGGAGAATCAGCTTGAAGCTGGGAGGTGGAGGTTGCAATGAGCGACAGAGCAAGACTCCATCTCAAAAAAAAAAAATCACAGTTTATAAGAGGGAAGTCTGATATTTACTTGCTGCTACATGGTTCTTTCTCCTCTCCGCTACCACTATTATATAAAACTAAGAATTTAATCTACATGTTGATGTCATGTGAAAGTAAGACTTTTTTAGTCATAGAAATTGATGGAGTTTGGGGGAAGATTCCAGAAGTATTCATGTCAGTTTTTCGTTATTTATTATTTACTATTGAGGGTTTCTCAGTTGCAACTCAGTTTTATCTTCTGTCTACCTTAAGCCATGTTAAATGCAGGTATATACCATAACATTTAACACAGAAGCTTTACTGTTATCTGTCATGTTGGAATTGGGGTGATGTCAGAGTTTATTTAATGATTCATGTCAAATGAATGAACAATGAAGTAGATCAAAGTTCAGTAATTATCTCCACAAAGCAGTACTACTGTTGGGATTCTGAGTTAGATTGAAAACTTCTTGGTGAGCAAAATGTCTTTCAACAGGAATCTCTTGCTGTGACTATATCCCATTTCCTTGTCCCCCTCCCACATACATACAGTGATACACATATGCAGACATAGAAAATTGTCCTTGTTGGGTTCCCTGGTTGTGAATCACTTATGTGTAGGAGGTTGCTCCTAAAGACTGAAGATGGGATAATGACTACTAGTGGATATTAAGCTACAGTGCAACCACTGCCTTTTGTCAAAATAGAATTAAGCCCTCTATTAATGTGCTTGTAGTACTTGTGCAGTGGATAATCGTTTTAATAGAGTAATATGGAGGCTAAAGAATGGAGTGGGGCCAGGTGCAGTGGCTCATGCATGTAGTCCCAGCACTTTGGGAAGCTGAGGTGGGTGCATCTCTTGCGCCCAGAAGTTCAAGACCAGCGTGGGCAACATGGTGAAACCCCATCTTTATGAAAAATACAAAAATTAGCCAGACATGGTGGCATGCACCTATAGTCCCAGCTACTTGGGAGACTGAAGTGGGAGGATTGCTTGAGCTGGAAGGTGGAGGTTGCAGTGAGCTGAGATCATGCTACTGCACTCCAGCCTGGGCAACAGAGCAAGACCTTGTCTCAAAAAAAGAAGAAGAAGAAGAATGGAGTAGGAGGCAGGTTAGGCTCACCTATTGTTTTTTTTTTTTTGAGATAGAGTCTAGCTCTGTCGCCCAGGCTGGAGTGCAGTGGCGTGATCTTGGCTCACTGCAGCCTCTGCCTCCTGAGTTCAAGCTATTCTCCTGCCTTAGCCTCCTGAGTAGCTGGGATTATAGGCGAGCACCACCATGCCTGGATAATTTTTTATTTTTAGTAGAGACGGAGTTTCACCATGTTGATCAGGCTGGTCTCGAACTCCTGACATTGTGATCCTCCCACCTCAGCCTCCCAAAGTACTGGGATTATAGGCGTGAGGCCCCGCACCTGGCCAGGCTCACTTATTTTTAAACGTGTGACGAAGCTTGGGAAGACTCTCCACTTTTCTCATGTCTCACTCTTTTTTATGTCCAGGTTGTGGCTCCAATTTTTTTTTTCCCTGACTACCCTATTAAAAATAGTATCCTCTCCGGGCGTGGTGGCTCACACCTGTAATCCCAGCACTTTGGGAGGCCGAGGCAGGTGGATCACGAGGTCAGGAGATCGAGACCATCCTGGCTAACACGGCGAACCCGGCGAACCCCCATCTCTACTAAAAATACAAAAAATTAGCCGGGCATGATGGCGGGCGCCTGTAGTCCCAGCTATTTGGGAGGCTGAGGCAGGAGAATGGCGTGAACCTGGGAGGCAGAGCTTGCAGTGAGCCGAGATCGAGCCGCTGCACTCCAGCCTGGGCGACAGAGCAAGACTCCATCTCAAAAAAAAAAAAAAATAGTGTCCTCCCCAACTAAATCATTCTCTCTCACATTACTGTTTTTTTCTCCTATGTCATTTACTGTCTATATGTATCATTTTGTTTGCTTGTTTGAATCAAATCACTTCTTAACATTTCCATTGCTGTTATCCTAGTCCACGTCATTATTCTAGACTTTTTCAGCTACCTGTTAATTGCTCTCCCAGTTTCCATTTTTGTTTCTTATGCCTATTTTCCACAGAACAACAGGGATCTTGAGCAATGTAAATAAATCAGATCGCATTACTGTGTCTGCCTAAAATTCACCCGGGGATTCCTATTATACCTAAAATTCAGTATAGCATCCCCCTTCTTGGGGGTCTATTAAATTTAATAATTAAAAAAGTTTTTATTGATAGATGGAGATTTTAAGATTTTTTTGGAGAGAGTTCTGATTTTTGATAGTTGAGCTTAGTGATTTAACTTGTTTCTGATTTTTTTTTTCTTTCTTTTCTTAATCCCCAATGTGATAGTATGTTTCTTTTATTATTATATATTTTTTTCTTTCGAGACAGAATCTCGCTCTGTTGCCCAGGCTGGAGTGCAGTGGTGCTATCTCGGCTCACTGCAAGCTCTGCCTCCCTGGTTCACGCCATTCTCCTGCCTCAGCCTCCTGAGTAACTGGGACTACAGGCGCCTGCCACCTCGCCTGGCTAATTTTGTATTTTTAGAAGAGGTGGAGTTTCACCATGTTGGTGAGGCTGGTCTTGAACTCCTGACCTCAGGTGATCCACCTGCCTCGGCCTCTCAAAGTGCTGGGATTACAGGCGTGAGCCATTGCACCAGGCTAGAATGAATCTTATCATCCAATGTCTAACAACTTTATATACTTGAGAAATTGAAGCTCAGAGAGGTGAAGTGCTTTATTCAAGTTGAAATAGCTAATTAATAATAATAGGATTGGGGCAGAAACTCAGTTTTTCTTTTCTTCTAATTCAAAGTCCTCATTTGTTAGTTTGTGATGCCTATATTTAGTGATTTTTTTTTTCTTCTTTTTCTTAAGCTGTGGCTCCCGAAGCATCTAGAACCGGAAGCTATATTCAGCAATTTTTAAGTTGAATTTCTGTTAATACTTTTTACAAATAGCACAGGAGGTGAGGACCCCAGCCCCATGCAGATGGCAGCCCGGGCAGGTTGCACCAGTCCTTCTGTCCTCACGTTGGCAGACAGATACCTACTCTGAAGCCTTTGTAGGGGCCTGAGCACCTTTGTGAACCTGAGCCGGAACTGAAGCTGGAGTTGATCCTGGGCCTTGGTTTGATCCTTGGCCTTGGCCTTTGGCCAGCACAGCCCGAACCTCTTGGCAATGTGGGCACAAGCACGCTTCCTAGGCTTGGGGTGGGCAATGTAGGCAAGTCGTTGGAGCTTGCTGCTGCCACCCTTTGGGATCTTGGGCTTAACCTCCTTTACGAGGGCCTTCATAGCCTCAGCACGTGCACTAATGGCCTTGGCATTGTCGGCCTGGATCTTCTTTAGGCCCTTCTTGTTGTGCTTCTTGGCAAAGCACATGTTCCTCAGGAACTTGGGGTCCACTCCCTTAAGAGATTCGTATCTTTGTGATCGGGGTTTCTTTTCTAAGACAGAGTCTCGCTCTGTTGCCAGACTGGAGTGCAGTGGTGTGATCTCAGCTCACTGCAACCTCTGCCTCCTGGATTCAAGCAATTCTTCTGCTGCAGCCTCCTGAGTAGCTGGGACTACAGATGCACGCTACCATGCCAGCTAATTTTTGTATTTTTAGTAGAGATGGGGTTTCACCACGTTGGCCATGCTGGTCTCGTTCTCTTGACCTCATGATCCACCCGCCTCAGCCTCCCAAAGTGCTGGGATTACGGGCGTAAGCCACCACGCCTGGCTTGATTGTGGTTTCTTAATACCATTTCTGTGCCATTTGCGGGAATGGTTGTGTGTGGTGTGGTTCTTGGACTTGGCCATGTCTGCACCTTAAGCCGTGGCTCCTGAAGCACCTAGAACTGGAAGCTTTGTTCAGCAATTTTTAAGTTGAATTTCTGTTAATACTTTTTCAAATATAAAACTTAGTGGGATAACAAAGCTGATTTCTAAGGAAATATTCTTCAGGGAATTTCAGTTTCTAACTACAGCGTAAAAATCTCTTATTTCAGGATTAGTTTTTATTGGAAGAATGTCTTAGTTTGTTTTCTGCTGCTATAACAGAATACCACAGATCGATACTTTATAAAGAAAATACATTTATTTGGCTTACAGTTCTGGAAGCTGGGAAGTCCGAGGGCATGGTAGTACCAACATCTGCTTGGCATCTGGTGAGGACGTTCTTGCTGTGTCATAACATAGTGCAGGTGAGCATATATGATAGAGAGGAAATCTGACTGAACTCATCTTTAGTCAGGTACCCATTCCTATAGTTATGGCATTAATCCCACAATTATGACATTGTGTGAGTGCACTCCCACAATCATGGTCATGAGGACTATTCCCTCCTGGCCTAAACATCTCTTAAAGGTCCCACCTCTTAATATTATGACAATGGCAATTAAAGTTCAACATGAGTTTTGGAGGGGACATTAAAACCATAGTTGTTTTCATAGTTACCACATAATAATTGGCTGAATGTTTAAAGTCAAATAATGTATTTGCTATAAAAGGTTGACTAGTGATGAAGTTTCAATAACAGTTGTTTTGTGGCCAGGCATGGTTGCTCACATCTGTAATCCCAGCACTCTGGGAGGCTGAGGCAGGCCGATCACTTGAGATCAGGAGTTTGAGACTATCCTGGCAAACATAGTGAAACCCCATCTCTACCAAAAATAAAACATTTAGCTGGTTGTGGTAGCACACACCTGTAATCCCAGCTACTCAGGAAGCTAAGGCATGAGAATCACTTGAACCTGGGAGACGGAGGTTGTAGTGAGCTGAGATCGCACCACTGCACTCCAGCCTGGGTGACAGAGCAAGATTGTCTCAAAAATACAAAACAAAACAGTTCTTTTGTGGGGATTATTTGTAGTTGTTGGACCAGAAGCAATTATTTTTTTATACATTAAAAGAGTTATATAAAATATGAAATGGAGATGTACAGTATAGTAACGTAGCTTATTCAACTTGTTAAATTAAGTCTCCTGTTCTGATTTAGATTGACCCACAATGTTGAATTTAGCTTGGAGAATATAACTTTACTATATCAGCAATATTCCCCAAAGAGCAGGAGTGCCATCTTTAAACATATGGTTAAACAAGTAATAGGAGGATCCATACATTTCTATTACACCTGAATTATTAATTAATTAATTTATTTATTGAAACAGGGGTCTCACTCTGTTACCCTGGCTGGAGTGCAGTGGTGCGAACTCCGCTCACTGCAACCTCTGCTTCCTAGGCTGAAGCTTTCCTCCCACCTCATCCTCCTGACTAGCTGGAACTACAATCATGCACCACCACGCTGGCTAATTTTTCTATTCTTTTTTTTTTTTTTTTTGGTAGAAGCAGGGTTTCCTTATGTTGCCTAGGCTACTCTCAAATTCCTGGACTAAAGCAATCGCCCGCCTCGACGTCCCAAAGTGTTCAGAGTACAGGCATGAGCCACCACGCTTGGCCAAGCCTGAACTTTTAGCTAGCTTTCATCATTGAACGAACCTAAAACTTTTATGAAGGTCCTCTCCGAGTTAGCTAAACTCTAAAGTTTGAGGACACAGTCTTCCAGAAGACCACTTTCATTTCTGACACCAACTGCAAGTCTTTGGGAGCTGGGGAGGTTCCTAAAGTTTTGATAACTTGCTAAAAAGATGCTAGGAGAACTCACTGCTAAGAGCTATTATGTTCATGGTTACAGTTTATTTCAGGGAAAGGATACAGATTAAAATCAAGGCACGGAGCCCATAGAACCAAGTTCAAGAGGGTTTCAAATGTTGGAGCATCTGGTGTTTGCTCCCCATTAAGTCAGGAGGTGTTACTCTCAGTATCAGTATGTGACAGTATGCATGGACTATTGCCATCTGGGGAAGCTCACTTGTGCCTCAGTGTCCAGATTTTCAAATTAGGACTTCATTAAATAGGTATATTTGATTGATGGGTTGCCTACATAGTTGAACTCAGTCTCCAGGTTGGATTCAGACTGATACTGGGTGACCCAAAGTCCCATCCTAAATCACATGGTTGGCCTTTCTGGTTGGCCAACCCTGCCCAGAAAGACACCTCTATTTAGTATGACATAGATTACCTCTCAGGAGCAGAGGGCACCTGTCTTTGGGCAAGGCTAAATTCTTTAATAGGTAGGATGTAAAATTAAAACTTACCTCCATGGTTTCTTTAGGAACAGACTCTGTAGATAATAAGTGGATTTGATCCTAACTCCATGTATTAATAAGAACCGACATAATTTCTTTCAAGTAGTCACTTAAACTACATTATAACCTCATTAGGTGAATCCTCTACTATATTTTTATCCTGCTTGGGCTTCACTGAACTTCTTGGTTTTGTTTGGTTGATGTCTTTCTTCACTTATGGAGAGTTCTGGCCATTTCCTTTTAAAATATTTATTCTATTTCATTCTCTCTCCTCTCCTTCTTGGACTCCAATTACACATTATATTAGACCATTTGAAATTGTCCCACAGAACTTAGACATGCTGTTGTATCCCCTTCCCCTCTTTTTCTCTGTTTCAGTTTGGATATTTTCTGTTGATCTGTCCTCAGGTTTGTCAATCCTTCTGCTAAGTCCATCTAATTAATTATTGATTTCAAATATATTTTTCCTTTCCAGTATTTCTTCTCTATAGTTCCTATTACTCTGCTGAAATGTCTCATCACTTCATACATATTGTCTGTCTTTTCTACTAGATCATTTAATATTTTTATCATAATTTTTTTTTTTGAGACGGAGTCTCGCTCTGTCACCCAGGCTGGATGGAGTGCAGTGGCGTGATCTCAGCTCACTGCAACCTCTGCCTCCTGGGTTCAAGTGATTCTACTGCCTCAGCCTCCTGAGTAGCTGGGATTACAGGTGCGCACTACCACGCCTGGCTAATTTTTGTATGGTGTTTCACCATGTTGGCCAGACTGGTCTCAAACTCCTTACCTGAGATGATCCACTTGCCTTGGCCTCCCAAAGTTCTGGGATTACAGGTGTGAGCCACTGCACCCAATCTATCATAATTATTTTAAAGTTACTATTTTTTTTTTGAGATGGAGTCTCGTTCTGTTGCCCAAGCTGGAGGGAAGTGGCATGATCTTGGGTCACCGCAACCTCTGCCTCCCAGGTTCAAGCGATTCTCCTGCCTCAGCCTCCTGAGTAGCTGAGATTACAGGCACGCGTCACTATGCCCAGCTAATTTTTGTATTTTTAGTAGAGACGGGGTTTCACCATGTTGGCCAGGCTGATCTTGAACCCCTGACCTCAAACGATCCACCTGCCTTGGCCTCCCAAAGTGCTGGATTACAGGCATGAGCCACCGCGCCTATCCTAAAGTTACTATTTAATAATAATTCCAACATTTGGGGCATCTTTGAGTTTGCTTATTTTGACTATTTCCTTTACTTTTATTTACCATTGGTCACATTTTCTTGCTTCTTTGTATATCGCATAATCTTTTATTGTATACCAGACAACTTCTGTTTTGTTTTGTTTTGGTTTTTTTTTTTTTTTTTGAGACACAACCTCACTCTGTGACCCAGGCTGGAGTGCAGTGACTCAATTTCGGCTCACTTTTTAGTTTTTCATACTTCTCCAAAACTGTCTTCTTTTAAAATCACTAATATTAGGGAGGGGAAATATGACTGCTAATGAGTGCAGGGTTTCTTTATGGGGTGATGAAAAGTATTCTGAAACTTGATAGTAGGTGATGGTCACATGCCTCTCAATATACTAAAAATACACTAAAAACAACTGAATATACTAAAAACAACCGCAATCTCTGCCTCCCGAGTTCAAGCAATTCTCCAGCCTCAGTCTCCTGAGTTTCTGGGAGTACAGGCCTGTGCTACCACGCCCGGCTAATTTTTGTATTTTTGTATTTTTAGTACAGATGGGGTTTCACCACCTTGGCCATGCTGGTCTTGAACTCCTGACCTCAGGTAATCCACCTACCTAGGCCTCCCATAGTGCTAGGATTACAGGTGTGAGCCGCCGTACCTGGCCTGTATACCAGACAACTTCTATAAAACAAAGGAGAACCTGAAGTTTACTTATTTTTTACTTAATATTTACCTCCAAAATGCCATTTATTCTGTCTGGCCACTAAATTAAGTCTAATTTATAAGATGAGTAAGATGAGTCTGTGCTTTGTTAACAGCTGTAGTTTGATTCAGTTTACCACTGGGTCTAAATACTTTGGGGCAGAATTATGACTTTCTCCTCAGCAGGATTTGGGATCTAAGCACTGATATGATTTCAGAGATCTGTTTTGCCAGCTGAGCTGCCAGCTTTTTAGGTCGCTGGGAGGTTCTCTTTGTTCTTTAATTGTGCCTCTTGCCTTTTTGTGTCTCAGGAGATCTCTGCCTTGCTGCTCTTACCCTTGCCTCAGGAGGGCAGCTGTTTTACATTCTGTGAAGGCTTGGAATGCCTTGGAGGGCTTTTTCTCAGTTCTTGCCTCCACAGCCTTTGGTAGCCGAAAGCTTAGATTACCTCAGATGGATTTCTGTCTGCTCACTTGCCAGCCTCCTTTGGAAGATGACTGCCTTGTACTTCAGGGAGGCCTATATACTTCAAATGGGATCTCTTTCAGTTCTTCTGACCTGTCTTCAGCTTTCAATGTACTACCTGTGTATTTAGTGAAGATCTGTAGGAGAGTTGGTAGATGGGTACAGATGGGTTCCGTGTCTGGGGCTCCTTGTAATTCTTATTCCAGCACATTGGACTACTCAGCTTTACCTCCACCATGCCTTGGAATTTTAATCTGTCATGCTAGCCTACATTTGGCATTAAAAATTTCTTAAAAGTCTGGTTTGTTTCTTCTTATCCCTGTCTATAGTACATTTTCTCCTGCTGCTGCTGCACCAGGGAAGAGAGTAGTATTGGGCCTCTCTCTCCTATTAAAGGGCAATCACTTTCTGAAATTTAATTCATTAGGTGTTTGTGTGTTCTCTGTTCTGTGACATTTCTTTTTCTTTTTTTTTTGAGACAGGGTCTCACTCTGTCGCCCAGGCTGGAGTGTAGTGGTGCATGATCTCTGCTCACTGCAATCTCCACCTCCTGGGCTCAAGTGATTCTCCTGCCTCAGACTCCTGAGTAGCTGAGATTATAGGCATGCACCACCACGCTCGGCTAATTTTTGTATTTTTAGTAGAGATGGGGTTTCACCATGTTGGCCAGGCTGGTCTCGAACTTCTGATCTCAAGTGATCCAT